GTACTAACCTGTGAAGCTGGCGCCTTGATGCAGGTACCTCGAAGATGGAGCTGGAGCTATGGCGCCACAGGTAAGTCTCACTGGCCTCCGCCAGCCATCTCTCTCCAACACTACTACTACTACTACTAGCGCCCTGCGCTGAAGACTACTCCTGCAGCTACTAGCGCCCAGCGCTGAAGACTACTGCTAGCTCTAACGCTACTCCTGCAGCGCTCCTCCAGAGTGCTGCTGCCGAATCCTGAAGACTGCCTTCTGCCTTCTGCCTGGACTGCACGTGAAGTGCCTGGCCAGTCCCTATGAACTACCTGCCTGTAGGGCAGGCCAGTCTTATATAGTGCTGGCCCGTCCACGAGGCTGCTCTTGCCAATGCCCAAACGTGCTAGACCCGGAGGAAGCTTCCGGGAAGTTTCCTGGTAGCTTCTGGCTTAAGCCTGAGGAAGCTTCCGGAAAGTTTCCAGGTAGCTTCTGGCTAAAGCCTGAGGGCCTATAGGCCTTTTTTTCAGGCTGTCAGGCTGAAACGACACGGGGCCTGTAGGCCCGGTTTTCAGGCTGTCAGGCTGAAACAGACACGGGGCCTGTAGGCCCTGGTTTTCAGGCTGTCAGGCTGAAACAGACACGGGGCCNTTTTCAGGCTGTCAGGCTGAAACAGACACGGGGCCTGTAGGCCCTGGTTTTCAGGCTGTCAGGCTGAAACAGACACGGGGCCTGTAAGCCCTTGTTTTTAGGCTTTTAGGCTGAGACCGCGGGAGGGGCCGTGCAGGCCCGTGTGGCTGCGCAGTATGCCACAGTAGTGGAGTGAAGCCCTGAAACTCACGTGCCGAGTTAGTAAGTTAGTAACCCATAACTGCTGAAACACGGACCTGAATTTGAAGCTACACCATATATAGCTCGCCTGCTCCCTCCTTACTACAAGTCCAGTGACGACCCGTCCAATGACCACCCCGCTCCTGCCAACTGGACCCTTGCCAATTTTGGCAAGGACCTTTTGAAGTACCGGCAGGGGTTGTCTGAATAATGTGAAAGGGCTCTGTGCTCTCTCTCTCTCTCTCTCTCTCTCTCTCTCTCTCTCTCTCTCTCTCTCTCTCCCCAGCGTGTATACACACATCACGGTTGTTTCTTCTTCTTCTTTTTTTTTTTTTTTTGCACGCGCGAGTGCATCTGGGATTACCGCACCATGCACCGCCGCGCAGCGCACTTCCCCTACGCGCCGCAAGTATGCTATCTATACGTATTTTTTGTTTGTTTTATGGATGGCTTGTGATGATTTGTGGATGGAATGAGAGAGAGTTTGGAGTTTTTTTAAAAACACACGAAGGGTGGGTGTAGCATGCCGAGGTTGCTACACTGGCCCTGGTTTGGGGCCTGGTGGTTGTTCCAGCCCCCCAGGCCACGCACCCATTTCTGGTGAGTGACCTGGAGGCCCACAGCCATTTTTCCAGGCCAGGCACATGTTTGGTTCCATGTGTGCTCTCCTTTATTCAGCATTTATTATTTTTGCTGGGTTTTGTCTTGACTATTTTTGTTTGTTTCAGATGTGTCGGTTCGGACTTTTCCTTTTGTCCGAGCAGGAAGATGCCTGTTCGGACCAGTGGATTTCAGTTTTGGCCATTGTAGGCCAGGTTCAGACCGACGACTGCTCAGCCAGGCCCAGCGGTATATAGCTGGGCCAGTCCTCCGCTTTGAGGACACATTCTGGCCGGAGCCTCAGTTGGGATCACGCTGCGGGAGCAGCGCCAGTTTGGGGAGGGCTGCGATAGAGCAGCACTAGAGGAATAGAGGAGTAAGCTGGAGTGGAGAGGTTTGGCGGAGGCTATGTCCACGAGGGGGAGAGAGGCTTACCTGGGCGCCATAGCTGGGACTTCATACCGGTCATGGGACCAGCCTTCAGCAGCGACCTGCATTGGGAGTCACCACCTTCGCTGGTCAGTATTTGTGGCATCGTCTTCAGGAGCGCGTGAGAGAGGAGAGTTCTTCTTCTTCTCCTCCTCCTGATTCTTGTCCGCTCCTCCGTAGCCACTATTCTTCTTCTTCTCCTCCTCCTCCCTCTTTTTCTTCTTTTTCAGGGAGAGAGAGAGAGAGATTTGTTACATGCTGGCACACGGGCCCCATTTTCGGGGCCTGACGGTTGCTGGGGGCCCCCAGGCAGCGCGCACCTCAGACGCTCACCCTGGAGGCCCATGGGGCCGCAGGTTTCGATTTGAGGCAGCATTCATTCATTTATTTATTTATTTGCTGTCCTATTTTTATCTGTTCAGGTGTAGTTTCGGACTTGCAGTTCGTCCGAAAGTCTGTTCGGACAAGGCCACGTTTTTGGCCTGGTATCGACATAGGCAGGCCCTGTTGGGCCAGGTCTGTTTTCGTCCAGTAGCGGGTCTGGATGTCTGGTCGGTTCCCAGACCCAGTAGGCCACGTTTTGACCGAAGACCAGAGGCACATGGAGGCACACTCGTGAGGCTCAGCTCTACTTATAGCTGGGCCACGCCTGGGCAGGGACACAGTTCGAGTAGCTCACTTCTTGGGTGACACACTGCTGGAGCAGCACGGCACAGCGCTGTGTTAGAGGTAGACGTGTAGGTAGAGCGAGGGAGGGGGAGGCCATACCTGCAGTGGCTGTGCTTACCTGGGTGCCATAGCTGGGCTCTGCGCCAGCGACCTGCACAGGGACACCACTCGGTCAGTACATGGCGGCAGTTACCTGCAGGTGAGACAGCGAGGAGGATGACATCTTCTTCTTCTTCGTCTCGCCCTCCATCTCTTCTCTCTCCTTCTTCTTCTTCTTCATCTTCTTCTTCCAGAGCGAGCGAGCGAGAGAGAGAGAGAGAGAGAGAGAGAGAGAGAGAGAGAGAGAGAGAGAGAGAGAGAGAGAGAGAGAGAGAGAGAGAGAGGTTACAGGCAGAGGTTCTATGGGGCGTGAGGCCCAGGATCTGCTTTGACATTTTGTGGCAGACGTTGATTGGACATTTGGCAGGGAGACTATTTTTGGACTTCGCTATCGCGATCTTGGTCTTCTCCCTCATCTCCATCTTCTCGCCTCTTCCCCCCATCTCCTCATCCGTGGTATCTCCCCATGTGCGTGATCAAGGAGGGACCTTTCGTCTATGTATGCGGTCCCTCCTCTCTCTCCCACATGTGTGGTGTATGATGGGTGTCGCGTTGGTATCTGACAGGTCAGGTCGTATCTTTGAGTCTTCCGCTGTGCTCCATTGTGCTGTTTCCATATGTATCTGGATGTACATTGCTCGTTGCTCGTTGATGCTTTGCTGACATTGCATTGTCCATTCGAGTCCTTTTGATCACTTTGTGGATCCTTGGCTTCACGTACATCGCTCAACCGAGCATGTATCAGATTTTCGGCAGTGACTATTTCGGGCCTATGTGCGCCCAGGATCTGATTCGCCCTTTTTTAGGACGGACATTGACTGGACATTTGACGGGTAGACTATTGCTTTACGACCGGGAGTTCTACTCTTGTCTTCTCTCCCCTCTCCATCTTCGTCTCTCCTCCCCCTCATCATCCGTGGTTTTCTTCCCCATGTGTGTGTGCAAGGAGGGGCCTTTCTTCTGTGTATGATTCCCCTCCTTGCTGTGTGACATGTGTGATGATGATTGTGGTGAGTCGAGTCGGAATCTGATGTGTCAGGTCATATCTTTGAGTGTTCCCCTGCGCTACATTGCATTATATCATTTTGTTTTGAGTCCTGTCCATCACCCTGGCACTCCACATGTTCACTGCTCATCGTTAGATGAGCATGCATCAGTGTGGGAAGAGTGGTGTCACCATGGAGGGGATGGAGGTGGACCAGTGTACTGAACCAGTACTGGTACCTGGTTCGGTGTGCTGCGTGAAGTGACCGTTGAGGGAAGGACAAGGTGCTGGGCTGGTACCTTTGTCCAGGGTACTCTGCCAAGGTTCCAGTTCGGTACTGTTCTGGGTTTCAAAGCTCTGGCCAGAAATAAAGTTCCAGCAGAGTTTTTTTAGGCTCGAATCCGCCCGATCAAATATGCACCTGAGTTTTTCTTGCATTTAGAAATTCGAGTGAGCCTATGGCAAAAGGTCACTTCTGCAAAGTAGCGCCCTTTTCTTTTCATGAATGGTGTCCCCTCTGCCTTCTCCCACCCTTAATCTCAGCTCTCCTGTTTGTTTTCTGAAGCTGGTGCTGACATTTTGCCGTTGCGTACTTCCCGGATTGAGTGCTTTGATTTCTCTCTTTTTCTCTTTCCCTTCTTTTGTACTCGTTCTGGACAGTCTTTCTTTTCGACCTTTTTCTCCCTCCCTTTGTCTTCTTCTGATGGAATTCAGTGCTTGTTTTGTCTTGTGTCATGTGAACCAGGATACTGCTGAAGCTGTACGACTGGCCAATGAGATAGGGTTTCCTATCATGATTAAGGTGAACATAACTTAGTCAGAATAGAGTCACTTATTTCCATGTAGCTTACCTTGTACCTTCCAGTTTACAGTTCTGCCGCCATCCGGCTTACCTCTTGATTGACTTTTCATGTGGAGCTGGAGAAGGGATACCCTCTGGGCTACTGTTCAGAAACTGGCATTCTCATTTTGTAAGTCAGGTGACCAGTTCCAGAGGTGAATTTGTAGGAGGACAGACGGAGGAGGGGTGAGGAGTAGTGTTAAGGGGGTGTTGCAAGATGCTTCCAGCACATGGTGGGAGAGGAGGGGGTATCATTGAGGAATTGAAAGGTGCTCTATACAAATGAAGAGAGGGAGTGTGGGTGTCAACGAGGGCTGTATTATGCATTTTGTGCATTGGGGAGGGGCCAGAGGGGAGTGTTTGAAGGTGTCACAATGGTGCGAGGGACGAGGAGTGCCATATGCTCATGAGGACAGGGAAGTGTCAGGAGGCATTATGAGATGGTTCGTGTGCTTGGGGGGAGAGAGTGCCAGAGTGGGATTGTTTGAGGGGTGTCACACGACGCTTTATGTACATTGTGAGAGGGAGGAGAGTGGTCCCTTGCAGGAATGTGAGGGAGTGGAAGTGGGAGTTTCCTGAGGTGAGGTGGGACCCCTTACATTCATGGGGGAGGGACCGGCAGTGTTGAGGGGTCTCACATAGTACTTAAAACTGTCCACAGGACGGGGGAAAGGGCGTGGGGAGAGGGTCCGGCAGTGCTGAGGGGCTCACACAGTGCTTAACAGGAATGGGGTAAGGGAGTGGGAGTTTCAAGGGGGTTGTGGTTTACACATATGGGGGAGGAAGGGGTCCTCCAGAGCTCATGAGAGTGTGTGTGTGTGTGTGTGTGTGTGTGTGTGTGTGTGTGTGTGTGTGTGTGTGTGTGTGAGAGAGAGAGAGAGAGAGAGAGAGAGAGAGAGAGAGAGAGAGAGAGAGAGAGAGNGAGAGAGAGAGAGAGAGAGAGAGAGAGAGAGAGAGAGAGAGAGAGAGAGAGAGAGAGAGAGACTCAAACTGGTAATGTGAAACCTGATTGGTTGAAGTTAAAGCTGAGATAATGATGCGCAGTGCATCATTAACTCTTATGGACCTGAGGGAAAGAGGTCAGAATTGGGAGAAGGGCCACACAACAAACTTACGGTTGGATACGACCTGACAGAGTCTGAGGCACAGGTATAAGTAACAATTTCATAGCCAGATGTCCAGTGCACAAAAGGTGAACATTTGGGTAATGTGCGATATAGTGATAGGTAGATACCGAAGGGGACAGATGGATAAATGTGCATTGAACTTGAGCATAGTTGCTGCAGCATGTCCCCGAGGTCGTTTGAGCGGCACGATTCTGTGGCAACACTGGCAAGTGTATATACTGTACAGTCTGCTCAAACTTGGTCCTGTTCAGCTGAGGATTTTGGTGATTGAATGCATGGTGTCAGTATCCTCTTGTTGCTGACACTGCTGTAATTGTTGTTAAGCAGGCAACAGCAGGTGGTGGTGGCCGCGGTATGCGGCTTGCAATGGAGCCTGAAGCATTTGTCAAACTCTTGCAGGTTTGTTGTCTGCTTATCTGAGCTAGGCAAATGTAATTCTTAGTTATCTTGGAGTGTTGTTATCCGTTTTCTTGCCGTAATTTGTTTGCATTTCGAGGTATGCTGAGTGTGAAAAATGAGTGGGAGAGGGTGTGTATGGCACAGTATAAGGGAAGGAGAGGCAGCTTAGAGTTCTGGGAATATGATCTGATCAAAGTTGATCATGCCTGTTGGCATTTCAAGGAAAGGGTGAACATCTTGGATATGCTTTTATGGCTTGGTAGGTTTTGGTGGGGAGCTGAACGGTGAGGGCAAGGGGCAAGAAGAGGCGAAGGGTAGGGTAGATAGGGACGTTAGTGACCAGCGTTAAAACCGTGTCTACCATGCAGAGTACATGTGGTGGATACGAGGGAAATTAAGTGGGGTTGGGAAAAGGACAAGGGAAGGGAATGGGCATGTGGGCGAATGTGAGGGAAATAGAGCAGGATTGGGGGGGAAAGAGAAGGGAAGGGAAGGGGGTAAAAGAGGTATCTGATTTGGAGAGGAAGGACTGCTCCAAGGTCATTGTTTTGGACAGGCTTGAAGACTGTTTCCGCGAGAAGAAAGAGCCTGAGGGAGAGTGGAATAGGGAGAAGAGAGAATAAGAGAATAATAAGATTGGATGTGAGAATTAGATGGTGTTGGATATGTCTAGAGGATGTGTACACTTTGTAGGGGTTCTCTCTCTCCACGGCAGGGAGAAGAGGGCGCAAAGTTGATGGGAAAAGAAGAGAGGGCATGGAGTTGATCATCGGAGGATTTAGAATTTTAGAGTGATAGGAAGTGGAGAGGGGTTTGTGACATTTCAGGATATTGCATGGTGTTGGAGTCGGTACGGCAAAGAATCCGGACTGTGAAATGTTGGATATGTCAAGAGTACGTCCACACTTTGTGGGGATTATATCACTGCACGGGCCGGGAGAAAGGGCATGGAGTAGATGAAAGAAAACGAGAGAGGGCATGGAGTGGATGAAAGAAAAAGAGCGAGGGCATGGAGTTGATCATCGGTTGAAGCATTGGAAGTGGTATCTTCTAGTTCCGCCTCCTGAAGAATTGGTGAATGTCTGATCAAACCATTATCAGGTCGTGTTTGTAGGGCTCAAGGTTGGGGTCGTAGCTGTTGTTCCCCGCATGTATACCGACAAATATGCATAGTGATGTGAGATATGTGTGATGTATAATTCTTGGATTGCAAAAAAAAAAAAAAGATGGTCCAAGCTTTGTGGAGTGCATGGAGAGATTCAGGTGGATCTCAGGTGGGAAGCATGAGAACCCAAGCAACAAGAGCAGCAGGGGTTGGCAGAATGCAACATGGCCATGTGATGGAAGGAAGGAGAAGCTGGTCCTCGTGAAGGCAAGTGTAGAACCTCTGTTTTGGAAAGCACTCTTAGCAAAGCAGAGCTAGCTGACTGGTGGACTGTGAACCAAGCTAACTGCAAAGTATGCACCTGAACCCATAGAGCTGATGGTGCTGATGATCTGGCTCTCTCTCTCTGTGCAGCAAGCTAAGAGTGAGGCAGGGGCAGCTTTTGGTAATGATGGTGTCTACCTGGAGAAGTACATTCAGAGTCCTCGGCATATTGAGTTTCAGGTACATATTATTCTATTCTTGCGATCATGTGAATTTGGCATACTGTCATCAATTTGTTCTATGACATCTTGTGACCCACTCAGGTGGGACTACACTTCCATGCCGACCAGACTGTTTTACGGGGCTGTTTGCATGTGCAGTTGTTTGTGATCAGACAGACACACACACACACTTCATCACCACCAGGGCAAGTTGTTGCGGACGAAAGCCTGCAGCAGCTGAACGCCCATGCTTTGGACCGATCCTCCCTGTCGTCATCTGCCCTTAGAGAATGAATAAATACTAAGGAACCCCAAGAAAGATGCTCCATGCCGCTTTGTGATGACCCGCCGGGGATTCAACTAGCATGTGGTTCGCATGCCTTGTGCCGTGAGGATTATGAATGGATAGTCCATGCAAGTTTTTGTTTCCATATGTACGACGGCAGTCAGTACTGTACTCATGTACGGAAGCAATGCCTCTATAATTGCGGTCGATGTGCCTCTGTGTTCCTAGCATGTCGGAGCCACGTAGCCTGTGACATCTGTCTGCGCAGTGCCATTCGATGCAGCAACTGTGACTGCGAGAATTGGATGCATTGCTTGCATAGTCCACACCCGAACCGGTCCTATTTGGTCTGTAGGCGTGGCCACTTGCCATAGGCATCAACTGCTCCTCAACTCAACATGTTCCCCTCCACTTTCTTTGTGCTACTAACAAATATATACAAATGAGCATTATTAAGAGAACAGACGATATGAAGATCAGAAATGAAATGAATGGAAGTATGAAGATGAAGGATGGACACAAAGACTAATTATAAGCTGAAGATCTGAAGTGAAATGAACAGGAGTATGAAGGCCTGAAGAGAAATGCACAGGGGCATACCTTCCCTTTTACTCTGCATCCTGAAATACGTGCAAGTGGGCCGTGAAGGCACACGGGGATGTGGGCAGCTGTCGCTCAACCACAATCAATGTGGGCAGCCTTGTATGTAAGAGGCACAGTAAAAGGGGAGCTGCAAGAACAAATGGAAGGGGTACCCCAGTGACAACCAAAAAACTGTCTAATTATAAAATTGCTTTGATATGTTGGACTGTCTCATCTCAAATGCCCTCGCTGTCTGCAATAGGACAAAGACTGCTTTGATTCTGAATCTATTCATCTGGGTGGGATTGGGGCTGTTGTGGGGAAAATCTGTATATAACACACACACACACACACACACACACACACACACACACACACACACACACANTCTCTCTCTCTCTCTCTCTCTCTCTCTCTCTCTCTCAGAACTCTCCTCTCTCCTCTCTCTCCTCTCTCCCTCTCTCCCTCTCTCCTCACTTGTGTTGCTCTGTCCTTGCTGTGCTCCCTCTCTCTCTTAGCCTGAGGTATACCTCGAATACAACTGCAATATAACTTCCCAATGCTTCGCGGCTATGGCCGCCTTCTACCTCCCCCCTCTCCTAGCTATGGATGTCTCCTTCCTCGCCGGCGCCTGCTTCTCCTCCTGGCACTACCCTCTGTCCAAACCGTGCTATCGCACAAGCAACCAGCAACGCTTCAGCAACTTCGGGACTGAACAACTGGTCTATAAATGGAAGTCGATGACTTGCTTTGCCTGCTTCAGACCGGTACCGGTCGGCCGTGGCCTGTCTTGCTGCATGTTGTGACATTCCGGAAGTCTCCCGATTTTCTTGGGGCGCTGCTGCAACATTGGAATTTGGGACTTGACTTTCTGTGTCGGTCTTCCGTACCCAACTCTACCGGACTGCGACCCCTACGGAACTCTACTGCCCTGGGACTTGACCTACTGGGACCTAGTGGGCCTGGGAACATCTGGGAATGGGGCCAATTGGGACTCTGGGACCGGGACTCGGGACCGACACAGCGCGAAATCATTTAGTCTGAGGGGAATATGGCCAGAAGAATTATCTAAGGAAGAGGCTCAGGGAGAGAGCGACCATACCTAACAGAACTTGCCGGTGGGCATAGCCGCACCTTCTTGTGTAAAGACAATTCTCTGTGAGTGAGTTGATTGGCAGATACTATCTTCGAGTTAATTTAAAAAAAAAAAAAAAAAAAAAGCAGATTACCTGAGTTATCTGAGGGGATAGAGCCAGAAAATGGCCCAAGGAGCATTAACTGAGAGGAATCTGGCCAAAAAATGGCCCAGAAACAGTATTATCTGAGGGGAGTATGGCCAGAAACATTGTCTGGGCCCTGGGGGGATTACGGCAAGAAAGATTATCTGAGGGGAATAGGGCCACAACCGAAGTCCCACCCACTTCCAAAATTGCAAAACATACCTTCAAAAGCGGCGCACGAGGTTTATCATCTCCATCCCTTCGGGCCCACTCAAGAATAACTTCACCACGATCGACTGCCTTCTTGACATGGTCATACATGTTCATCGCCGTCCTCGAATGGAAATCGCCGCCTGCCCGGAATGCTTCCAACATGCTTTTACAGTTCGTCAATTGCGCCAACAACCGCAATTCCAGCTGCGCACACACAGACAGCAACGGTCGTCGTCAACGAGGGATAGGGTGACTGCAGGGGACAATCACACCACACTGAACTGGGACCCTACCGTAGTTTTCAAGATGGAACGAAATAACCATGGGACCATGGGGAGCATGGGGCCATAGGACCATGGGACTATTAGACCATAGGACCATGGGGCCAGATATGAAAGAAAGGAAAAAGAGTTCATCAGGGTACAGTTGGAATGTTCAATGTTACGTCTAGCTTTTGTAAAATGGTACAGTTGCCTAGAGATTCCTAAACTTGACTAAAATGCATCATCGCATTAAATCAAGAAATTTACTTAAATGATCAGAAACTCTGAAAAACTTCAGAAAAAGTCTTTTTTTTTTTTTTTTTTTTCAAAAAAAAAATTGCTCCAATCTATTCGTGGGGGGCATACGTGCTGTCTCTTATTCACATCTAGATGTGTATAAGAGACAGACACACGCGCGCACACACACACACACACACACACACACACACACCCAGAGAGAGAGAGAGAGAGAGAGAGAGAGAGAGAGAGAGAGAGAGAGAGAGAGAGAGAGAGAGAGAAAGAGAGGCTCTAGCAGCAACTTAAACTGCTGGGGGAGAGGGGTGGGGGCAGTCTTCAGGGAGAGAGTTGATGGCACTTCTATGGCACTGCACACACAAGGTGCATCAACCGTGGTTTGCAAGGTGCTTTGCATGCATGTTGTGGGTGAGTAGAAGGATCTATGGTGGGTACAATATGCTTTACGTGCATGTTTGCAGGAAGGGGAAGCATTGATGGGGTCACAAGATTCTTTGCTTGCACATGGGAGGGAGAGCGATTGGATTGTGCAAGGTGATTTGCATACACATTGGGGCAAGTGGGGGCGGGGGACAGGGTGTACTGACTGGGGTCTCAGCATGCTCGTCGGATGAGTTGAAGGGGAGGAGTACTTGTGATGGGATTGAGACATGCTTTGCATCAGTGGTGTCACAGGATGCTTTACATGCATGTCGGAGATATGGGGGAGTGGTGATGGCAGTCATAAGATGCTTTAGATGCCGGGCAGGAAAGAGGGGGTGGGATGCTGCCTCTGTTCTCATGCACGTGGAAAACATATCTGTTACGATCCTGGCCAATTTCGAAGTACAAATTCATGAGAAAGCACAATGCCGTCCAATTGCAAAAGAAATGAATGAACTTGAGAGGAGAGAGAGGGAAAGAAGAAGAAGAAGAAGAAAGAAAGAGGAAGAAGATGTACACCAGCAAAGACCAATGATAATTGAATCATAATTCCCTTCTTCTCGCCAGCCACTCTCCTCCTCCTTTTCTACTCCCCTCTTTATTTCACAAAAAATAATAATAATAATGTTGAATGGCTGAACCAGAATCAATGTCCGAATCCCTCCTCTACTGCAGGTACAACATGAGGTCCACCATAGCCATGGCCACTCTTTTCCTCCCTCTTCCTGAAGGCCGAGGCTATGGTGGACTGCTAGGGCCTTGCCCTGATGTGCAAACAACTCAAAACTTGAAGCAGCTAGCTGCTGTGGCGCAGGCCGCCATGCCTGACTCTGCCTCAAAGTTTCTTGATGTAGCTCTACCCTCAATGGGGCCATCCAGATGCAGCGCCCACCAAGGTGATGAGGATGGCGTCCACCATAGCAGGTAAGTACCTCTGGCACTCCCCCTTCCTAGTCTCTTCTTCCTCCTCCTCCTATCCGAGCTCCTCCACCATAGCCAAGGTGGGGAGCTGGGAGACCTTCCCCAGCAGCGCTGCTCCAGCCAGCACTCCAACAGTGTGTCGCCAACTTGCACACTACAGAATGAGGAGGACCTCTTCGCTCCTCCTGGAGATATAGCGGCCTGCTTGCCTCTTGGGCGGTGACTTCCAGGCCGCTCGGCCTCCGAGCAACCGGTACCTCCTCCCTTTTGGAGGGAAACATCATTGCAGACTCTGATATTCTCTGTACAGGCCCTAGACGTGGCGGCGGCAGCAGTAGATGGAAAAAAAAAAAAAAAGATTCTCTCTCTCTCTCTCTCTCTCTCTCTCTCTCTCTCTCTCTCTCTCTCTCTCTCTCTCTCTTCGATGCCACCAGCCTCGCGGGTGTACTACTTGGCCTCGTACCAATTGCCCGCATAGCGGGCGTCGACAGAAAGTTTCACCCGAAGCGGGTTCTCGCCTGCAAATGGATGTTCCATTATGTGTCGGACCAGAGAAAGAGCTTCCTCTGCTGTTTCCTGAGGGCCCTCCAAAATCACCTCGTCGTGAATCTGCAACCACAATGAAGAGGTGTTAACCAAGTAAAAATAAAATTCAAGACCCTGCCCCCTTCCTTTCCCCTTCATAAAAGGCGAAAAAAAGAAAGGCTTAGAAAATCTGAAAATGTGAAAGTCGAAAGTGCCGTCTACACACCCGATTAGAACATCCCGTCATTATCGCTGTAGCGAGACTGGAAGTTGCCTCAAATGCAGCGATGATTACCGGCAGTTCTATTCCGATGAAGACGGCAGTATAAAGTACTATAAACCAAACAACTTCACTTTTTACTTGCTCTCCTGCGCTGCATTTTGCGCAATCAAGCATGCACAGCAAGACGCAAATAACCCAAGTCAGACAAGGCGACTAAAATACAGCTAACTTGCATATAAACAGTCAGTGGTCTTCGAAAACCAACGACCATAACGCCATGCCTACCAGGCCTACGGTGCCTGCCAAAGTCCATGCCGCAAGAGAGAGAGAGAAAGAGAGAGAGAGAGAGAGAGAGAGAGAGAGAGAGAGAGAGAGAGAGAGAGAGAGA